TCCCTTTGTCTTGATGTGTACAGGGGAATCCTATTTCGCAGGAGGTGCGGCAATTATTGTGTCAAGCACCCTGTCAAACTTGTAGAGCCTTGTCCTCCCATCTTGGCCTCAGGGAAGGGCAGTTTGAAAAGGCTCAGCAATGGATTGCCGCCGAAATATGACATGCGGTTCCCTTGTCTCTGAGCTGTGAGGTGGGTCTGAGCTGGCACTCAGAGAGCCCATCAGCGGAAAGGTCGAGAGGTCCTTCTCCTCCTCCTCCTCCTCCTAGTCGGCGGGAGGGGCTCAGGAAGACTCTTCCGATGGAGTCAAGAGCGGCAAGCGCACCTCGCCGGCAGTTCCAGGATCCACAAAGCATCTTCCCGCGGCTAGGGGGGGAGAGGGCAGGGAGGCAGATCTGGAGCCGAACACACCCTCCACGTACTGGTCTAGCCGTTTCCCAAAATCGATCATGTCTCTCATTATGCCGTCTTTCGAAGACAGTGTGACCTTTGATTGTCAGGCCGAGTCGAGGGAAGACTGCGCCAGGGGGACATCAAGAATGTGGCGGGGAGCGTGCACGAGTGCCCACGCCAGAAACATACAATGTGTGAAAACATGAGAACTGTTATACAGCGTCTCTATTGCTCCGCTGCCAGGGGTGAATGTTGATTTACAGCGAATCGCCAAGGCAAGTCATGCGCCCCACCATCATTATGGAAGGACAGGAGAATACTTGAGTCCCGGACTGAGGCTGGAACAAGCTACAATAGAGGCAGCACCGATCTGCTTTGACGATGGAGATCGCTCTGCTCACCACGACGAGGTCGGAGAGGACGGCGACAGCGATAGGTTGAAGCCACCTGACACCAGTGCATCCATCGACGATGCAGTCTTCAGAGTTGGATGCCCACATCTTGAAGTTTGCACGACAGCATGTCGACGCTGATTGGGAACCTGCATACATCGACATATTTCAAATGTTGGCAGAGGCCAACAACGGTTGGACACGTAACGCAGGTAGCACTGCCTTACAGCTACTGCTGTTGAAATCGAAACGAATGCACGTGGAAGAAAACGTACTCCTACTAGTTCTACTGTCCACTAAGAGTAGGATAGTTGGTGCTCCAGATAGGAGCGCAGGAGTGAATACGTATCTGGTCTCGGGCAATGAGATGACGATGGCAAGCGTTCCTTCAAGCTTGGAGATGCCTTGCGAAGAGAAGGAAGTGAACGACACCATGTCGGCATGGATGGAGGTAGGTATCGCAGATCAGATCGGGGGTCGTTTTCGATTGACATCGATACCGCACACTTTGTGTGCAAACAGAGCGAAGACAAACAGCACACACGCATCGAGGGAGCTGCTCCAGGCGCGCTCGGTGCCAGCGGCGAGCATGCTCCATCGCACGCTGCCGCCAGAAGGGCGGAGGGGGGGAGGCTGAGTCTGGGAGGCGTCGGTCGCTGGAACGTTCGGCTCGATGCTTTCAGGCCCTCTCGAGGGGGGAAGTTTCGCGACTCCTCCTCCTCCTCCTCCTCCTCCTCCTCCTCCTCCTCCTCCTACTCCTCCTCCTCCTCCTCCTCCTCCTCCTCCTCCTCCCCCTCCTCCTCCTGAGGAGGAGGAGGAGGAGGAGGAGGAGGAGGAGGAGGAGGAAGACCTCGCCAGTCGGCCCCCATAAGTTCCCGGTGCTGCGGGGAGCGCGCCGCCTCCCGCCGGGGGGGCCACCCTGCGCGGCTCGCCTCGGAGAAGGGGGGGGTGGAGGGAGAGGGGAGGAAGAGGAGGAGGAGGGCGTCCTCCTCGTGGGTCCTCCTGGGTCCTCCTCCTCCACTCGGAGGGCGAGCGAGTGGGGGAGGAAGACGAGGAGGAGGAAGAGGAGGAGGCAACGGACAAGGTCAATGGAGGGGGTCGTCGTCGTCGTCGTCGTCGTCGTTGTCGCCATGGGTGCTAGGGTCGAACGAAGCCAGGACGAGGATAACACCGGAGGGGGGTCAATCAAGACCCTCCCGCGGGGGAGAGGGAGGGGGGAGAGCGAGGGCGTGGAGGTATGGCCACGAGATCTTGTGTGTGATCGATCCTCGGCCCCGCTTCCATATGTCCCAGCAGGGGCGTCCAGCAGAAGGCCCCAGGCGGCAGTGCTGCTGCCGCGGAATCTCTGCCCAAGCGTTTTTATCTTGTTTGCCTCCTCCTTCTCCTCCGCCTCCCTCCTCCCAGGACTTCGCTATGCGACTCAGACAGCGAGGGCGAGGTCTAGGACAGTGAAGACGAGTAGGGGGTCGACCAGGTCAACGACGACGACCAGGACGACGACGGCGACGGCGACGACGACCACAACCATGACCAGGACGGGGATTGCGAGGACGGCCGCGACGACGAGGACGACGAGGACGACGAGGACGACGGCGACGACGACGACGACGCCGACGACGACGACGAGGACTGCCCCGTGGTCCGCCGAGGCCCAAGGAACCCAAACTTGGCCTCGGAGGCCGTGCGACCGCGCGGTGTCGTCGTTCGCCGTCGTCGGTCTTCGCCGTTGCCGTCGTCGCCGTCGCCGTCTGCCCGTCGTCACCGTCGTCGTCGTCGTCGTCGTCATTTTGTCGTCGTCGACGTCGTCGTCGTCATCGATTCATCGTTGTCGTCGTCGTCTATCGCCGACGCTGTCGCCGTGGCCGTCGCCGGTGCCGTCGTTGTCGTCGTCGTCGTCGTCGTCGTCGGCATCGGCGTCGTCGGCTTCATCGTCGTCGTCGTGCGGAGCCGTCGTCGGCATCAGCGTCGTCGTCCTCGTCGGTCTCATCGTCGTCGCCGTCACCGTCGTCGTTTTCGTCGTCATCGGTTTCGTTGTCGTCGTCGTCGTCGCGATTGCCGCCGCCGTCGTCGTCGTCGTCGTCGTCGTCGTCGTCGTCGTCGTCGTCGTCGTCGTTATTTCATCTTTCCAGTCGTTGACGCTATCCTCCTACGAGCTCTTATGAGTTTGGGCTTTGGGGCACGCCAGTCTTGAGCTTGAGACTGTCAGGCGTGACGCTTCTTTGGCCGTGTCGATGTCGCTTCCGTAGTCGTCGCCGTCGTCGTTCTCCTCCTCTTTGTTGGTGTCGTCGGCAGCGGTGTTGTCTCGCTGGTGGTTGGGTAGTCGTCATTCGTCGCCGCCCTTATCTTGGTCCCCGTGTACTTCATCTTTTCCTCCTCCTCCTCCCCATCCTCCTACATCTCGTCCATCTCCATCTTGTCACCGTCGCCGTCCTCGTCCCCCTCGTCCTTTTTGTCACTTTCGTCAAAGTCGTGGTCTCCGCCGCCGTCGTCGTCGTTGCCGTCGTCGTTGTCGTCTTCGTCGTTGTCGCCGTCGTCGTCGTCGTCCTGGTCGTCGTCGGCGTCGCCGTCGGCGTCGGCCTCGTCCTTCTCGTCGTGGGCCTCGTCGTCGTCTTGCGTGTATTAGCGCTCTTCTTGCCCGCCCTCCTCCCCGGCGTCGTCGGGGTCGCCGCCATCGACGCCGTCGTGGCCCTCGCCGTCCTCGCCACCATCGCCGCCGCCGCCGTGGGCGTCCTCGTCGGACGTCGGCCATCGTCGGCCGTCGACCCTTGGCTGTCGTCGGCCGTCGTCGTCGCCGCCGTCGTCGTCCTCGTCGTCGTCGTCGTCGCCGCCGCCGCCGGCGTCGTCGTCGTCGTCGCCGTCGACCTTGCCGTCCTTGCCGCCGCCGCCGTCGTCTCCCGCGGTCGCGGGCCGCAGTCGGCGTCGTCGGCCATCGGCCGGCGGCGGCCGTCGACCGGCGGCCGGCCGAAGGCGTTCCTGAAGCCGTTCTTCCGGGACCTGAACCTGTCGGGCGCGCGCGGCGCTCGGCGGAAGGTGCGAGGCGTCGATGGGGGGCGAGGGAGGACAAGGGAGGGGGACGACCAGGGCAAGCAGAAGGGGGAAAAGACGATGGTGTTGTTGCTGATGGTGGTGAGGATGAGGATGAGGGTGATGAAGCTGCTGCTGCTGCTGCTGCTGCTGACGATGCTGACGATGATGATGATGATGATGATGATGATGATGATGATGATGATGATGTGGATGATGGTAACGACGCTGATGCTAATGAGTTTTATGAGGGTGATGATGCTCATGATGATGATGTTGTTGATGATGATGATGATGAGTTGGAGAAGGATGAGGATGATGATGATAATGAGGACGAGGATGATGCTGCTGATGATGACGATGATGATGATGATGGTGATGATGATGATACTGATGATGATAATAATGATGCTAATGATGTTGCTGATTATGATGATGATGCTGCTGACGGTGATTATGATTGTGATTATGGTGGTGGAAATGGTGATGATGATAGTGGTGGTGGTGATGGTGATGTTGGTGGTGGTGATGATGGTGACGATGGTGGTGATGATGATGGTGATGATGATGCTGTTGCTGCTGATGGTGTGGATGAGGATGGTGATGATGATGGTGATGATGAGGATGGAGATGAGGATGATGGTGATGATGGTGATAATGATGAGGATGAGGATTGTGATGATGCTGATGCTGCTGGTTATGATGATACAGATGACGGTGGTCTATGATGATGGTGATGATGATGATGATGGTGTTGATGGTGACGATGATGGTGATGATGATGATGGTAATGTTGATGATATCAAAACAAAACAAATGATAAGCGAGCACATCAGCATGGCATGACGGTGATGGTGACGGCGATGGTGACGATGATGGTGATGAGAGATGAATGATGATGCTGCTGATGATCGTGGTGACGATGATGGAAACAACGTTGATGATGCCGATTATGATGATGCTGATGATGATGATGAGGATGATGTTGAAGATGATGCTTATGATGATAATGACAATGCTGTTCATGATGATTGTGCTGGTGATGATGATGATGATGATGGTGACGATTATGATGGTGATGAGGATGGTACTGATGATGATGATGATGATGATGATGATGGTGATGATGCTGCTGATGATGCTGCTGATGCTGCTGTTGATGATGATGCTGCTGCTGATGATGATGATGCTGATGATGATGATGATGATGATGATGATGAAGCTGCTGCTGCTGCTGACGATGGTGATGATGATGATGATGATTATGATGATGATGATGATGATGATGATGATGATGATGATGTGGATGATGGTAACGACGCTGATGCTAATGAGTTTTATGAGGGTGATGATGCTCATGATGATGATGTTGTTGATCATGATGATGATGAGTTGGAGAAGGATGAGGATGATGATGATAATGAGGACGAGGATGATGCTGCTGATGATGACGATGATGATGATGATGGTGATGATGATGATGATACTGATGATGATAATAATGATGCTAATGATGTTGCTGATTATGATGATGATGCTGCTGACGGTGATTATGATTGTGATTATGGTGGTGGAAATGGTGATGATGATAGTGGTGGTGGTGATGGTGATGTTGGTGGTGGTGATGATGGTGACGATGGTGGTGATGATGATGGTGATGATGATGCTGTTGCTGCTGATGGTGTGGATGAGGATGGTGATGATGATGGTGATGATGAGGATGGAGATGAGGATGATGGTGATGATGGTGATAATGATGAGGATGAGGATTGTGATGATGCTGATGCTGCTGGTTATGATGATACAGATGACGGTGGCGATGATGATGGTGATGATGATGGTGTTGATGGTGACGATGATGGTGATGATGATGATGGTAATGTTGATGATATCAAAACAAAACAAATGATAAGCGAGCACATCAGCATGGCATGACGGTGATGGTGACGGCGATGGTGACGATGATGGTGATGAGAGATGAATGATGATGCTGCTGATGGTCGTGGTGACGATGATGGAAACAACGTTGATGATGCCGATTATGATGATGCTGATGATGATGATGAGGATGATGTTGAAGATGATGCTTATGATGATGATGACAATGCTGTTCATGATGATTGTGCTGGTGATGATGATGATGATGATGGTGACGATTATGATGGTGATGAGGATGGTACTGATGATGATGATGATGATGATGGTGATGATGCTGCTGCTGATGCTGCTGATGCTGCTGTTGATGATGATGCTGCTGCTGATGATGATGATGCTGTTGATGATGATGATGATGATGATGATGATGAAGCTGCTGCTGCTGCTGACGATGGTGATGGTGATGATGATGATGATGATGATTATGATGATGATGATGATGATGATGTGGATGATGGTAACGACGCTGATGCTAATGAGTTTTATGAGGGTGATGATGCTCATGATGATGATGTTGTTGATGATGATGATGATGAGTTGGAGAAGGATGAGGATGATGATGATAATGAGGACGAGGATGATGCTGCTGATGATGACGATGATGATGATGGTGATGATGATGATGATACTGATGATGATAATAATGATGCTAATGTTGTTGCTGATTATGATGATGATGCTGCTGACGGTGATTATGATTGTGATTATGGTGGTGGAAATGGTGATGATGATAGTGGTGGTGGTGATGGTGATGTTGGTGGTGGTGATGATGGTGACGATGGTGGTGATGATGATGGTGATGATGATGCTGTTGCTGCTGATGGTGTGGATGAGGATGGTGATGATGATGGTGATGATGAGGATGGAGATGAGGATGATGGTGATGATGGTGATAATGATGAGGATGAGGATTGTGATGATGCTGATGCTGCTGGTTATGATGATACAGATGACGGTGGCGATGATGATGGTGATGATGATGATGGTGTTGATGGTGACGATGATGGCGATGATGATGATGGTAATGTTGATGATATCAAAACAAAACAAATGATAAGCGAGCACATCAGCATGGCATGACGGTGATGGTTACGGCGATGGTGACGATGATGGTGATGAGAGATGAATGATGATGCTGCTGATGATCGTGGTGACGATGATGGAAACAACGTTGATGATGCCGATTATGATGATGCTGATGATGATGATGAGGATGATGTTGAAGATGATGCTTATGATGATAATGACAATGCTGTTCATGATGATTGTGCTGGTGATGATGATGATGATGGTGACGATTATGATGGTGATGAGGATGGTACTGATGATGATGATGATGGTGATGATGCTGCTGATGATGCTGCTGATGCTGCTGTTGATGATGATGCTGCTGATGATGATGATGATGTTGATGATGATGATGATGATGATGATGATGATGATGATGATGATGATGATGATGATGATGGTGGTGGTGGTGGTGGTGGTGGTGGCGTTGGTGGTGATGATCATGTGACCCGTTGGTTTTAAAGCTTGTGCTGGATTCTGACGGCTTCGGGGGAGGGGTGGACGAAGAGAAGGAAGAGGAGGAGGAGGCGGAGGAGGAGGACGACGAGAATGAGGTGGAGGAGGAGGAGGACGAGGAGGAGGAGGAGGGGGATGAGAAGGTGCAGGAGGAGTCGGAGTTGGAGGAGGGGGAGGAAGTGGAGATGGAGTGCTCAAACCCTTCACACTGGAGGTTCCAGCGTTCAGAACGGAGGAAGTAGTCCTCTTAAAGGCTGGTGGGACCTTCATATAGGAGAAATTGGGGGTATTGGTCCCTTGTGGGAAGAAAGAGGAGAAAGAGGAGGAGGGGGAGGAGGAGGGGGAGGAGGAGGAGGAGGAGGAGGAGGAGGAGGATTATGAGGAGGCGGAGGCGGAGGCGGAGGCGGAGGAGGAGGACGAGACCAGCGAGAAGGAGGTGCGCGCCAGAGGATGTGGATGGCGAAGAAAAAATCAAGGAGGCGGAGGTGGAGGAGGAGGCGGAGGCGAACATGGAAGAGTAAGGGGCAAGGGAGGAGGAGGCGGATGAGGAGAAGGAAGAAGGGAGGAGGAATTGCGTGCCATGGCGGCAGCAGGGCGAGAATGAGGGTGAGGATGGCGAAGATAGAGGGTGGAGACGGATGTCCAGCAGGAGGAGGCGGAGCAGGAGGAGGAGGAGGATTCACGCTCCAGGCTGCCGCTCATAGTTGGTCTACCCAAAAAAAGGAGGAGGAGAGAGGGGAGGAGGAGAAGGAGGAGGAGGAGCAGGAGGAGGAGGAGGAGCAGGAGTAGGAGCAGGAAGAGAAGCAGGAGGAGGAGGAGCAGCAGAAGCAGCAGGAGGAGCAGCAGGAGCAGCACGAGGCGGCCGTAGCCGCGCTCGGCTCTGGACGCGACCCCCAGCCCGGCCGACATGCCCCCCGCGGCGCAGCTGCCGAAGGGCTGGCGCGGGGCGCTGCGGCCGCTCGGCGGCTGGTGCTTCCGCCTGGCGCCGCCGACGACGTGCGACGACGGCGACGACGACGGCGACGACGATGAAACCGGCGACGACGACGACGGCGACGACCCACGACGACGACGACGCCGCACGACGATGACGACGATGAAGCCGACGACGACGACGACGACGACGACGACGACGACGACGACGACGACGACGACGACGACGACGACGGTGTCAGCGACGACGACGACGTCGGCGACGGCGACGGCGGCGGCGACGGCGACAGCGACGACGTTGTCGACGACGTCGACGGAGCACGACGCCGTCGGCGACGGCGACGGCGACAACGACGCACGACGCACGACGCACGATCACGATGTCAACGCGAACGCGGGCGGCTGCGGGCAGGCGCCAGCGGCGCTGGCGCTGCTGGCGCTTCGACAGGTGCTGCAGGCGGGCGCCGGTCTTGAGGCACCGCCGGGGCTCGCGGCGATGCCGCCGCGCAGTCCGCGCCGTCGACGTCGTCGTCGCCTTTGTCAGGCTCGTCGTCGCCTTTGTCAGGCTCGTCGCCGCTCTCCCCGTCGACGTCGTCGGATTCGGTGTCGTCGCGTCGTCGACGTCGCCCTCACCGTCGATGTCGTCGGACTCGTCGTCGTTCGACGCAATCGGCGTTTGCGTCGACGTCGTCGCCCTCGCCGTCGACGGCGATGGACTCGTCGTCGCCGTCGCCGTCGCCGTCACCGTCGTCGTCGCCGTCGTTGTCGTCGGACTCGTCGTCATCATCATTGTTGTCGTCGTCGTTGTCGTCGTCGTCTTTGTCGTCGTCGTCGTCGCCATCGGCGTTTTCGTCGACGTCGTCGGGCTCGCCGCCGGCGAGCGCGTCGACGTTGTCGGGCTCGAAGGCCGCCGGGGTCGCGCCACGCGGCGCGGGCGCGGCGGCTGAGGAGCCCTGGGCGTGGGTGGATGCGGCCAGCTGGAGCGCGGCGGGCGGCGCCTGGGGCGCGGCGCGGCGGGGCAGGCCTAGACCTCCCCTCGACGGGCGTTTCATCATCATCATCATCATCATCATCATCATCATCATCATCATCATCACCATCATCATCATCAAGCCCTGGCCCGAAGTCCCAAGGCATGAGGGCCCGTTCCGCAGCCCTCATCCTTCTCCTCATTTCGGCGCTGCGATGCGCGACCGCCCGCATGAAGATAGCTCAATGGAACCTTCTCTCGCTGAATGATTACAGAGATAACCCAACAACTGAAGTTCGCTGACGTGGTACTGGTGGCGGGTACGACAGCAAAACGACAACGAGATGCGCCAACCCAACACGACGTCGTCCACCACGACCCCTTCATCATGATTCAATATGGTTGGAGCGGAGCAAGGGGCACTCTGGTGAACAAATCATGTGGTGTTAAGATATGGCTTAACAAGCGACGATTCCGCAGGTCGCAGCTGGTGCAATTCTGGGCAGTACCGACGGCGTTGCAGGGGAGACTGGGTGTTGTGCGAGTGCGATCCAGCCAGCACGATTTCACGTTCGTGGTCAGCTACTACCCGCCGGGGTGCACTGATGCGAAGAGCATCTCCAAGTATGATGTGACGATACGAAAGTTGACGGAAGAGCTGCACTTGATATCAAATGGCCCACCCAACAGGTCTACCACGATTGCCGCGACAGATCTCAACGACGGAATGGGACTACAGTACTCAGACGGTTTCATGCAGTCAGTGGACAGTACCAGCCTGGGACCCTACGGCCGCAGTCAGGAACATCAAGCAGATGCACTAAATCGAGATTGGATGGAGACGAACGCACTGACTTCTGTGACGAGTTGGTATCCTTGTGGGCCGACGTACTATGGGCACCGCAGCTGCAGCCACATAGATCATCTGGTTATCTCAATTCCATGGATGGGACGGGTGCGCAAGTGTGCAGTGGTGTACAATCGGGCGAGGCGTGTGCGAGCTATTCCGAGTGCGGCGGTGCTGGATCACATGATCATTGTGGCCGAACTAGACTACGAGTTCACCTTCAGCGCGCCCCACGCGTCAGGCATCACCTGGGACTACTCAGCGCTAGGAAGAGCCATGAATGACGAGCAGGAGGCGCAGCAGTTCAGAGACGAGGTCGAGGAGGCACTGGCACACCGGTTGAGGAGCGACGGCTTCCTGGAATTGGATGCGTGGATGCGACAACATACGCTCGAGACGGCCTGGGAAGCGGTGGGCACCTCTATTCAGTCCACTGCACGGAGGAGGTACAGTACGACGCGGCGCAACCGACCACAATGGTACGTGGATATGGTGAGGGAACGCGAGGAGGCACTACGAGCTCGTACGCGAGCACGAGACACACTAGTTGACGATCTGGACAGCGCAAGGTGGCTACGACAGTGTACCCGTCGATGCAAGCAGGCGAGGATGGCCATCAAACGTGCGCGAGAGCAAGACTTGAACAGGGACTTGGAGGAGGCGCTACGCACCAACCTCGAGGACCTCGCCTGGCGCATCAGTCTCCAGATGGCAGGGAATGGCTTGGGCCCGCGAAAGCGGAATCACTACATCTTACCCGACGCTCGAACCGACCTCCAAACGTGGACGGAGGATCTGGCTCTGCCTGGGCGCGGAAGAGGGATGACGGCCACCACCGCTACCACGTCCAACTTCATTGAGGAGGCGGCGGCGCAGGACTACCCGTTCCATCCAGGTCTGGAGCACTGGGAACTTGCCAACCGCGATCTGGATCTGATCACGGCACAACTGTGCAGTGGGAGACGTGTGACAGGTCCAATGCTACAGGAGTTCCTGCTTGCTCAGCTGGCGGGGGTCAGACGACATGGGCGACTCAGTGCGTCGTGGAACCTGCCCCAGACGTACCAGGTAAGCAAGCAGAACCACAAGCCTCGGACACGGGGGGCCAGGCTCTTACACGGACTGTGCAGTTTTGGGAAAGCATGGGTTGGAGCTAGGCAGCCTCGAGAAGGATTGAAGATGCCGGCTGAGGACCGCGGTTGCGTGCGAGGACGTTCTCGAGTGGGTGCGCTGACAGTGGGCAACGTCGTGCAGCGGAGACTACAGAAGGCAGGGCTGAGCCACGTTGCGACCAAGCACGACGTGACGAATGCCTTCCTTCTCCAGCGTGCGCCACCAACAATTTGACAACGCGGTGAAGCAGCTCTACCGTTCAGATGATGTCGACATCGCGAGAACGAAGCACCGCAGGACTGCATGTGTGGTTGACGCTTGCGACGGTACAGGGACGTCTCAGAACGGTGCGGGATGCTTCGTGGGTGGCGCGGATGCAGCCACTAAGTTCCGCGTTGCGTTCGAGGCCCCGCCAGGCCCGGCCCCCCTCCGCAACCGCGCATGAACTTACGGCGAGACGTGCGGTTACAAGGGGGAACTGCAACCTGGGAGTGAGAAAGTATGCCGAGGACCTCACCTGTGCACACATCGCCCCAGATGCGCGCAGTGCTGCACGACGAGCTTCCGTCCCCGATCGGCGCCCAGACGACGCACTGGCACAAGTCGGCTTGGCCCAGAGCAAAGAGAGAAATCGCAGGCAGCCCGTGTTTCGTGGGCAGGGGGCCCCAACGGCCTGCGAGAGATTTGCGCTACCGCAAGGTCGCCATCTCGGGGAGGTCCAGGCTACGTCGGGTGTTCTTGGGGGCCCACGCTCAGACCTCGAGGCGTAATGCTGAGGAGCTCCAGGCGCGTTGTGCCGCGATCCGTGTCGGCTGGAGGGGGATGGGGAAGTTCTGGAAGGACTGCCAGAATTTCTTTCGGATGCGCTTGGTGCGTCGGGCTCGTATTCTGGGAGGTGCGCTCGCGGGTCGCGAGGCTCGGGTGCTGTCAGAGGAGCGGGCCAAGCGGCTGGACACGGTCGCGACTAGATAAGCTGCTGCGCTACGCAATGGGATCGCCATATACACGAGACTGAATTCTGGGGGCGAGGGCGAGGATAGGTGGAAGGTGACGACTGCGTGTGCGGAAGCCGTGTGGAAGTATATCAAGGTCGCCCCGCCCAGTGTCAAGCTCCGTATCCGACGGCTGCGCAACTTTCAAGCTCTCGCCCGCCGCCCCCCCCCCCCAACGGCGCGTTCAGGAGCTGGCCGCTGTTGTCGGCAAGGTTGCCCTCGAGAATGCCGAGATCCAGACTTTTCCGTGGGCGCCGCAGCGCGCCCAGCAAGTTCCCCCAACGGACCGCGCGCACCCACGGGCCCTGCAGCGCAAGAATGACTTGTTCCTTTCGGGCAAACTTAGAAGCGGCACTGATTTCCTGCGCGACGTAGGGGGCGACCGCATGAGGGCCTTCTTGGATGAGGGGTTGACGAGGGGGTTTCTCGGGTTCAACGTCGCGAAGCTTCGGAACATTTGGCCTGCTAGTCCAACTATCACGCCGACGAAACCGCACGAGGATCAGGAGTGCTTCGAGGGCGGGCTTCCGTGCTAGCTGATCGACGGGGAGGGGATGGAGCGCAACCGCAGGTTCAGAACCATCGGTGCTCTGCGCGCCCATCAGACGCGCGCGGGAGGAGGTGAGCACGGACGTTTGAATTTCTTCACGCGCATGACGGTGTCGAACCAGCGCCCTTCGTGTCAGTCGTCGTTTGCATGTAGGATGACAGCCATCAACCGCATCGCGGCTTCACATCGGAACGGACGATACAATGCAGACTGTTCGGTATTCAATCACCCAGTCGTCCCTCCGCTGCTGTTCACCTGCCCAGAGACTGATTGTGGCGCCGACTTTGAGGGCCATCCCGCACTCCAGTCCCACATCAGGGAGCGACACCTCCCACGCCCTCGGCCGCGTGTCGTGGATGCAGGGGCTCCCAGATATCAAGGAGGGCGACAACGAAGAGCGCCCTCGGAAGACCGCGAAGGGTGGAGTGCGACAAAACCACGGTGCACGAGCGGCCAGCTCGGCAGGAAAAGGAAGCGACGGGAAGGAGAAGGCGGCGCCGAGGAAGGGCACGAAGCTGGTAGACTCGGGCGAGTTAGACGATTCGGAGATCGATGTTGGCACAATGAGGAAATTCTTCCCAGTAGTGATGCGGTTGTTACTGAATGTGGCCCTCCGCCAGAGACAGCTAGAGTCGATCGAGATGAAAACGTTCATCATGTCGTCGGGGCTTCAGCCAGCGGTGAAAGCGAGAGGTCGAGTGCGCGCGTGGATCAGGGCGGCAGAGGAGATCAGGAAAGGCCCGCCGGAGGGGCAGAGCGACGTGAAGATCCGCGAGACGGGGGCCATCTCAGTGGCGTGCTACGCGGGCGTGTTCGAGGGGTTGCTCGCGGAGGGCGCGGAGGGCGGCCGCGCGAGCCGGCAGCAGCTGACGACGCCTGCCGAGGGGCAGGCGAAGCTGACGGTGCAGGAGATGGGAGAGATGGCACCGCTTGCCAAGATCTCAGATTGCTACGAGGAGGGGAGGTTGAAGTTGGTAGCGGCCTTCAGCGGGAGGCTCAACTTGCAGCCAGTGCTGCGCGCGCTGGTCCAGGCTGGGGCGGACTACAAGCAGGGAGCGGCCCCGATGGGCCATCTCGATAGGCTGATCCACGCGGAGCCCCACGAGCTCGAGGGCGCCATGATGGGCCAGGAGGGCCAGAGGAACGGGTTCGAAGGCAGGCCCCAGAGGACCCTGAGGCGAGACGGCGACGACACTCTGAGATCGTGAGTAGGCTTTGTGAGGCCGTCTCTAGAGCTCAGGAACCCCCCACTCCTCCTCGTCTGCCTGATGTTTCCTCCGTTCCCTCTCACTCCTCTCCTCCTCGAATCTGTCGTAGCCACGATGGCCTCACTAGCGAGAGTAGACAGGAATGTTCTCAGAACGTTCCGGCGGAGCGTTCCCGGAACCTTCTGGATACAGACGGGGCGAATTCGAGGGAGCCCCCTGGTGTTTCTCGTCCGAGGAGACCTCAGAGGCCCAACTCGGCGCCTGGGGTTCGCGCTGATCTCGAGCACAGCACACAACACGCGACACACGACACACACACACACACGCACACACACACCACACCACGCACAACACACAACTCACAGCACACAATCCACAACACACCACACAAACCACACAACACACAACACACACCACACAACACACAGCACACAGCACACAATCCACACCACACCACACACGACACACAACATACGGCACACAACGCACACCACACAACACACAACACACGACACACGACACACAACACACAACACACACCACACAGCACACATCACACAGAACCCACCACACACCACACAACACACGCAACACACAACACACAACACGCACACACACAACACACACACCACACAACATACGAGACACATCACACAACACACGCCACACACCACACACAACACACCATACACCACACAACATGCAACACACAACACACAGCACACAACACACACACCACAACGCACAGCACACAACACACAACACACATCACAACACACCACACACCCCACAGCACACAACACAACACACACCACACACCACACAACACACAAAACACACAGCACAAACACACACACGCAACACACACACACACCACACAACACACGACACACATCATACAACACACGCCACACACACCACACACCACACACCATACACCACACAACACGCAACACACAAAACACAACACACAACACACACACACCACAATCCACAACACATAACACACAACACACAACACACACCACACACCGCACAGTACACAACACACACACAACACACACAACACACGACACACGACACACACCCCACAACACACAACACACAACACACAACACACACCACACACCACCCACCCCACAACACGCAACACAGCACACAACACACATCACACAACACGAACCGCTCACCACACGCCACATAATACGCACCACACACCACACACCACACAACACACAGCACACAACACACAGCACACATCACACAACACACACCGCACCCAACACAAACAACACACACACAACGCACAACGCACAACACACACACACAACACACACAACACACAACACCCACACACGCACACACACGCACACACATGCACACACACGCACACACAAGCACGCACTTGCACACACACACACACACACGCACACACACACGCACACACACACACACACACGCACACGCACACACACACACACACACGCACACACACACCACACACACACGCACACACACACACACACGCACACGACGCACACGCGCACACGCGCACACGCGCACAACGCGCACACGCGCACAAGAGCACACGCGCACACGCGCACAAGCGCACACGTGCACACGCACGCGACGCGCGCACACGCACACGCACACGCACACGCACATGCACGCGCACACGCACACACACACACACACGCACACGCACACGCACACGCACACGCACACGCACACGCACACGCACACGCACACGCACACGCACACGCGCACGCGCACGCGCACGCGCACGCGCGCACGCGCACGCACACGCACACGCTCACGCCGCACACGCATACGGTCACGCCCACGCGCACGCACATGCACACGCACGTGCACACGGACACGCACACGCACACGCACACGCACCCGCGCACGCACACGCACGCACAAGCACACGCACTCGCACACGCACACATCCTTGTTCCTTATTATTCGATACCCCCACCTACCTCGTATTCCGGCCGATAGCAACCCAATCCGGGACCTCCCATCCGGACTGTAAACAATCAATACAAAATGGCCGTTTTTCTTCTCAACATCGTCTTTCTTGTCGTCGACGATGCGAAAAGCGCGGCAGGAATGGGACGCGGCGCACATCGCGCGCGGCAGTCAATTTGGGCCCGCCCATCCTGATTGCAAACAATGAATACAAAGTCTTCGCTTTTTCCTCTCAGCATGGCTTGCCTTGTTGTCGACGGTGCGAAATGTGTGGCAACAGTGGGACGCGGCGCACAGATGGGACGCGGCGCACATCGCGCGCGGCCGTCAATCCGGGCCCGCCCATCCAGACTGTAAAAAATCAATACAACGTCTCCGTTTTTTCCTCTCAGCATGGCTTGCCTTGTCGCCGACGGTGCGAAATATGTGGCAGGAACGGGACGCGGCGCACATCGCGCGCGGACGTCCATGCGGGCTGCGGGCCCTCCCATCCTGACTGTAAAAAACAATACAGAATACCACTGCCACTACCACTACCACTACTATTACTACTACTACTACTACTACTACTACTGCTACTACTACTACTACTACTACTGCTACTACTACTACTACTACTACTACTACTACTACTACTACTACTACTATTACTATTACTACTACTTCATCTACTTCAACAACAACTACTACTACTACTACTACTACTACTACTACCACTACGCGCCAGCACCGAGTTGCGCCAGCATTGTTTCTTATGTTGTGGGAGGGCGGAACGTGTCCGTTGTTCCTTTCAACATGGCCAGTCTTGTCGTCGACGATGCGAAATGCGTGGCGGGAATGGGACGCGGCGCACATCCCGCGCGGACGTCAATGCGGTGTCCTGGGGTATCCTCCCAGTTTTGCTATCACTGTTTCTTATGTTGTGGGAGGGCGGGTGGGAATGGGCATGCCATGCTTGACTCGCTCGAGCTGGCTAGCTTGACCCACACCCACACCCACACCCACACCCACACCCACACCCACACGCACACCCACACCCACACCCACACGCACACGCACACGCACACGCACACGCACACGCGCACGCGCACACACAAACACGCACACACGAACACACGCACGCAAACATTCGCGTGCACGCGCACGTGCATGCACACGCCCTACACACACACACACGCACACAAACACGCACACGCACACGCGCACGCGCACGCGCACGCGCACGCGCACGTGCACGCGCACGCGCACGCGCACGTGCACGCGCACGCGCACGCGCACGCGCACGCGCGCGCACGCGCACACGCACCCACGCACCCACGCACCCACGCACCCACGCATCCACGCACCCTCGCATCCACGCACCCACGCACCCACGCGCCCACGCACCCACGCACCCACGCACCCACGCACACACGCGCAAACGCACCCACGCACATGCGCACACGCGCACACGCGCACCCACGCACACACGCGCAAATGCACCCACGCACACACACACAGTCACACACACAGACACTCACACACAGTTCACACGCACGTCGAGAGGAGGTCTGGGGCGGCGCGACGCTGTGGCCAGCCGTGTTCGAGGCGGGCGGCGGCGGCTCGGCCTTCCGCATCCCTTGCTTGCTGTGGCTGCCCTGCCCCGGCCACCCGCTCGGGGTGCTGCTGGCCTTCGCGGAGCACCGCTTGTCGGGGCTCGACGACTGGGGCCACATCGACCTCGTCATGCGCCGGAGCCTTCGGAAGACGACGGGCCAGCCACAACTGGAGGGGGAGCTGTGGTCCTTGCCCCCCTGGGGGCCCCATCGATTTCGACACCCCTCTCGAGAGGATTGGTCCCCCCAGGGGGGTAGGGACCACAGCTCCCCCCAGTTATGGCTGGTCGGGATGAGAAGCATGCTCATGCACCGATCCTTGCAAGGCCCATCCCAGGCCCAGAATGGTCCAGGCGAGTGTCGGTGCCATTTTGTTTTGCCTCTTGGCTTGGGGCACCGCCTTCCCCAGACCTCCTCGCCGCTCGCGCAGTGACAGAATCACGGCGGACGGCTTCTGACTGCTTTCGGCCTCTGAGGGTCCTCACCAGGCCCCGTGGCCGTCAGAAAACGAGGGAGGAGGGAGGGAGGAGAGGGAGGGACCAGAGAGGGACCAGGGAGGAGAGGGAGGGAGGGAAGGATGAGGGAGGAGGGTGGAGAAGGGAGGGAGGGAGGAGGGAGGAGAGGGGAGGGAGGCAAGCTAGGTGCGCAAGCGTTTTACCTGACGTCCTACCCCTCCCTCCCATCCCTTACCATGGCGCAGGTCTGTTCTCTATTCGCGCAGTGACATGTCGTAGCATGGCATAGCATTCCATGGCATAGCATGGCGTTGAAAATCAACGCGTAGCATGACAGAGCATGGCGTGGCACTGCGTAGTCAAGCACTGCATATCATAGCATTGCAGCTGAAGGCATGCCATCGCATATCGGATCAAACCATAGCATTGCATGCCATGGCATGGCACTGCAAATGAGGCCAGCGCTGCAGCGGGAGCACTATCCGGAACGAGCAGAAGCGTGGAAATGAGGCCAGCGCTGCAGCGGGAGCAGGATTTGGAACAAGTGGAAGCGTGGGAATGAGGTCAGCGCTGCAGCGGGAGCACGAGTCGGAACGAGCGGAAGCCCGAAAATGAGGCCAGCGCTGTAGCCGCAGCTACATTTTCAAGGACCGGAAAGAAACGGACGTGTAAACCACACATCTGAAGGACCAACTCGCCGGAATCCCGTGTGTTAAAAAACAGTGTTCGGGAGGCCGAACATCTTCGGGCAGAGTCAGGGGAGAGAGGAGAATAGTATCCATATTGTGCACTTGTGGAGGAGGGAGGAGGGAGGGATGCAAAGCCGGCCCCTGGAAGTGGTCGAGGTCCCTGGGGATCGACGTTGTGAACACAAAACATGCGACGTCGGGCTCTGGGTCCCTGGGCCTCCCTGGGCCGCTGCGATCGAGTCACGTCTGGCAGTCTTCGGCCTCTGCGCCAGAAGAATGGCTCGGGATGGAAGCATGGTCGTGGGGAAGGGGTCTGGACCTCTCGTGGTCCACGACGCGGGCTCCACGATGCGACGAACATCACGACGCTGGAGCTCTGGGCTTGAGACCCGCCCCCGCCCATCCGCTTTTTCCACGGGGCTCTCTCGGCAGGAGCGGGCCCACAGTATCCGGCTCCTTCCTGGCCCGCGCCCGCTCAGCCGAACCCCCGGGTAACATTCTGAGCGCGGGCGGGCCCCAATCACTCGAGCGGACTTATTTATGCATGAGAGCTCTCAAGGTCCACACATCAAATGGTTCCAGACAAAGAGTTTGCAGAGTACAAAGAGTTGTTCGACCATAGCTCGAATGGCGGTTCGCAGCACTGTTATCGGTTGTAAACCCTTACGGCCAGGAGCTTTCACTCAGCGTGTGGCGGCGCCTGTTCACGCTTCGACGCGACACACTCACCACGTCCTGGTCGCCAGGCGTCAACGTCATGAGCCTTTCGAGGTCTCCCGCCCCGCGGAGCGGAGCGACACGCTATCCGCTGAAAGGGCATAGCGTGTCGCCGGGGCGGCCGCCGCGACACGTTATCCAAAAGCTCTGGACCTTAATGCTTCTTGCCACCTGTCTATTGTATGCCACAAACGCAGAAAGCGTGCCCCCCTCTTCGTCCCTCCTCCTTTTCCCTCCCCCTTTCTCCTCCTCCCTCCTGCTCCTCCTCCTCCTCCTCCTCCTCCTCCTCGTCCTCCTCCTCGTCATCCTCCTCCTCGTCCTTCTTCTCCTCCTCCTCCTCCTCCTCCTCCTCCTCCACCACCACCACCACGACCACCACCCCCACCACCACTGGACAAAGCAAACATCATGCCCCCCCCTCCCCCCCGAGGAGCACCGACCTGGGGCGCACCTGGTCCGCCGCCCGCGCCCTCTTCTCGGCCGCGGATCTGGGCGCGCCCGGCGAAGTGCTCGCCTTGGGCGACACCGCTGGGGGCAGGAGGAGCGATCTTTTGAGAGGGGCGGCCCCAGGCAGGGAGGGGAGGGACTCGACTTGACTACGACGTTTCCCTTGCTTTTCTTTTCAATCCTCAAGTTCCCTGGGTCTGGCGAACGAAAACTAGGAGGGAGGAGTTTGCAGGAGGAGGAGGA